AAGCCTTGGTATTTTACTATTTACTTCTGAGAGGTGCTGCCAAGTTTATGAAACCGCTGAAGGAAATTGGTAGCTACGCTGAAATTACCTTTGCCATCCTGGAGTAAGAAGCAACTCCCCTCCATGGACCTGGTCACAGTGAGTAAGAATAATAGTGGCGAAGACACAGTTAATGCCAGTCTGAGAAAATGCAAGGAAATGAGTATGGTTCTGGATCATATTTCAGATATTTCTACCCAGCTGGGTATGGCAAGGCGGTGATTTGTTCACCTAAGTCCATCCACAACCAACGGAGCGAGGAAGCGAGCGGTATATGCATCGAGGCGGAAAAGCATAAGCCCCTATTCACATCTACACATGTTAATGTGGAATATCCGTTGCATGCATCCATACCTCGATGCCGTTGCCGGCATAATAAATATATTAACTAACTGGTAAATGCAACGTTCGTCTCAGGAAAGACGATTTCCAACTTAACTTCTTCCTCGGCACTACAGTTCATTGCGAAAGCAAGCAGGCAGTACAAAACTCCTACATGAGCGTATCATTCAAGGCCGTACGAAGCAGGAGCAGCGTCGGAAGCGATACAGATCACATGACGAGATAGATTAACGCAAGCTTGTGTTGATATGTGTGGACTGATGTAGAGCTCTAGATCCGGCTGATCACGCCGCGGCGCTCTAGGCGCACCTGGAGAAGACGCTCTGCGGTGATGTCCTGCAGGACGGTGCAGGCCGCGACTACGTGGGGAACTGTCGATGCCAACGTGGACTTCCGCACGCAGGAAACGGAAGGTTGCTTCCTGGTTGCAAACGTTGTCCTACTCTGGCGCGCGTCGCATGGTGGATCCCGTTAATCAATTCATTACGCGCAATTAATAAGTCAATTAATTGCGCCTTTCTGTTTGTACGCCAGTACGGTGGTATCAGCTACTTCTTACACGGCTATCCAGAGTCACTGAGGAAGACGCCGGGCACGTCATCGTCTTGGAAAGTCATCCACAAATACTTTTCCCTGTGACGAAGCGGGCACGGGCAATTCTTGACACTTGACCGCGTTCAAAAGTTCGGTCCACAACGCTTTGTACACTACTACCATGACTTAGTTTTATGCTGATATCATCGGCTTCCGCACCCTTTGATCGTTTCCATATGCAAAATGTGCGTACCATTGATTAGTTCAAGCCGTTCCTGGGGGACCTCACTCCCGGGAGAATGCGTGTGTGCTGTCTGGAAACCTCCTCCGTACTGGAGGGGGGGGGAGGGTAGGGGGGAGAGGGAGGGCATGGGCGTCTCGCATTGATTCCAGGGTAACAGTCGCTCAGTAAACAGATCATAATACCGCCAGCTGAGCTTCCCCAAACAACTGTCAGCAACATCCGACCTGCTGCTAGGTACCGCAGAGCACAAATATTTGATGTGGTGCCAGGGGCCTTGATGTAGTATTGACTTATTGGGGTGCGCTCAGTCACGACCTAATATCAATTTGTTGTGAAATTAAGATTGCAGAACCAAAAGGGTGTATGATGTCAAGACAACTCTCCTGCATTACTGCTAGAGGATTTATACGATATCCGCATGTTGTTCTCTTTTATCGGAATCAATAATCCGCGTTTTTTTCAATAGATGAACACAACGTTGGGATGAACAAAACTGCTTAGCACATAGCAATGGAATCCGGCCAAGCAATCAAAGCACACTAGACCAAGCAATCAAAGCACACCAATCAAACGCTTTCAAAGAACTGACATTTGCTTTGCGCGAGAAACGCTAGGTAAAGTTCAGAGGGTCATGCAACACAGATCCCATGGGAAGCACTTTTTGCTCACAGTTATGACAATGCGTTACTTGTTCATACCCAGATCAGCATAAATTGTGTCATACCATTAGTGAAGCCTCCGATTTTCCTGTCAAGGAAAGGTTCCGCCAATGCTTTTTCCAGAAAGGCCGGTGGATATTGTCGCAGCTACGGAAAGTGGCCTCGAACAACGCGTTTTATTTACGTAGGCGAGCAAGGGGTGTCAGCTGATGTTTACGAAAATGTGCGTCGAAAATGTTGAGCGGACGCAGGCTTACCTTCGCAATGTCTGGGCCGTGACTCATAGCGGTTTTGAGCTCGCTAAGCACGCTTGACGATGGATGAATTCTATCTCAGAAACAATGTTAAAGCCGTCTACTTAATCTTTTTCTCATGAAACGGGAGCTTTGATGCACACCATTTGCCTGAAACTGATTTAATTTATCCCTGATTGGAGAGAATACGCATATACCCCTACATACGGGGCCAGAGCTTCGAACGCATATTTGATTAGCAAGCACTGCCATCAAGAAATTCTCGGTCATCGAGAGGCGCACCATTACCCGAGTGTTTAGAGCGCGAGAACTTGGCAGGGACAAGTCGGCCGAGGGCCAGCTGGTCCGGATATTTATCTATAATCTGAACACGGCAGCCCAGACAATCCGGTCAGATATCGTCACACGGGAGAAATACTTACGCAAAGGTCCACCAGATGTCGAAGCTCATCACGTTCAACCAGAAGAGGGCAGCGATGAACGAGTAGTACAGCAACATACCTGAGAATGTTGAAAAGCACTGTGAGCATGGCAACGGAAAGCACCAAGTTACAGGTCATTGACTACCAAGCGTCGTATTTGTACAACGATGCCGACGTGGGAACTTCCGAACAAATTCAGGCAGGCTCTGCGCTGTTTGCATGTGAAGGCACCAAACAGACTGCGCCTTAGTACCTACTTCCTGCGCCTCCACGCCGAACGTAAGGCAAGAAGATGCGCCAACAGCGCCGCCCGCCACACCTACGAATGAGAACTACAAGAAACGGCATGCTCTGAATGAGTGTGCGAGGTTATAAAAGGGGCGGTACAGCGGCCATTAGGTTGACGCTAACACCATCTTAATGCATCAAGGTTTCCAAACTATACTGATTTTGCTTCTCTTTTTTAGCAGGTTCGTGATTACCAGATGAAGTAGGAGCCCGCATACAGTGAGGATTCGTGTGTTTAGCATAACCCAACTGTACTGCACCCGCAGGCACTGGTTTAACGACGTTGACAAGCAAACGGTTGACTTTATTCAGGAAGGTTAACATTTAGAAGCTTCGCCCATAATTGCGATAGACCACTAATGACCATAAGTAATGCGAAAATAGTGTCCATATTTTACCATGAGTGACAAGAGACGAGTGGCAACGATAAGCCAAAGCGACGAGTGGCGAGTGACAAGATCAATTGTTTGACATAAAGCTACCAGCTCGTAATGAAAAACCTGCGGTTGAGACCCCTGTACTTAATCAAATATTTGGTTGTTAAAAATTGTATGTATGGAAGCATAATTTACAATCATCAAGCACTTTTCACTACGTCCAGGATTGAAAAACATATGCATATTTGTTACAACTTTAATTATTTGTATCACGTGATTTCTACACCTGACATACTACTGTCATAGTGACCAGATCGTGCAGACATAGGCCGCCAATGTTTTTATACCTTGAGAGCTTACATCACACACGTTAAACAACGCTTGGTCCCACGCATTTACCGTTTTACTTTTCTACATTGCATGGTCTACATCTATGCCAATTTGAAGCATCGTCTTTACAGAGATATATAAACTTGGAACACTCTCAATGCATGAATGCATGCAATGAAATAGGCAGCGTGGCGCTCACCTAAAATTTCGCAGCTGTCGCCAAGCGGAATGCGAGCAAGCTGGTTGTAGACGGTGAGGAAGAAGGCGACGAAGAGCGCGGCAGCGTGCGACATCAAGCACTTCCCGTGGATGTTCCTCAGATCAGGCACCAGCATGTAAATTGCCAGCATGACGAACAGGCAGATCGCTGATAGGGTAAGGAGAACATTGTTCACGGCTGCCATGATCCCAGCTTCCTTGTCATGTGGAAAACAACAAACAGCGATTTCAGCGATGTCATTCCTCTGTGTCTTCAAGTTGTAGTAGGTCTCGTATTCCAGGCAACACTGGTGCGCCTCAAATGTGAGGTTAAGCCCTGTCACATGCAGCCTTCCGTTTGTCTGTACATACGGAGCGTCGAGCTCGCCCAATCTCTCGCTAAATATGAAGGTATCGCCGTCCTCACAGTTGGTCTTCCCATACAAAACGGTATGAGCAACTTCACCAATGAACAGATCGTCGCCCTCATAGAACGTCGGCTCCCATTGCAGTTGTGTGGGGATGCACGTGGTGTTGAACAGATGAAAGCCTGCAGCACAGCATTTCTGGATGCAAACTTCACCTGGACACTGCGCTTCAAACTCTTCTGCGGTGCTTTCTTCTACCATGGGATGACACACGACAGCGATGGGCTGGGGTGATGATGTGGGACTTCGGAGGTCATCCAGACAGAACAAACCTGGTTTGATAGGCAAATTGTAGCTTTCCAGGAGCAGATAGCTGTTGGACTCCAAGAAGAATGCACCCTGCGAGGAACTCGATGTTAGATACTGACGGACGGTGTCATCGGGGCACTGAAAGCTAATTGGAGGCGAACTGTCGGTCTTTTCGGCTGGCAGCTGAGCCAGCTGGGTCGGATAGCCATGAATCACCGCAGGCCGCCAGGGCGAGGAGTGCTTCACGCACAGGAAGCCCGAGCCCCCGCCACCCACATTCATGGCATGGCCGGGCGGACAACACTTGCGGACGGAAACATTTGTCACGTTGTCTAGGCTGGGCAGATCTGCCACCTGTGGCACTGATATCTTCACGCAGCTGCGCACAGACTCGTAAATCTGACCGCTCAGCTCCACGTTGTAGAAGCAGTAATTCATACCCAGCGCATAGGTCTTCTCAGCGGTTTGCACGTCTAGCTCTCCAGACGAACTTAACAGATACTTTGTGTTCGGTTCGAGGTGGTAACTGAATGTTTTCTGTTCGGAGCCAAATTCGCATTCCTGGATAAAACCTCCGACAATTTCGAGACTCGCATTCGTCGACTGATTAAGGAAGCTCGGCACCCAATCTGTCGGACTGGGCTTGCATTCTCGGCTTATTACATTTTCTCCTCTTGCACAGCAGGTGCGCACGCAGAACCCGGCTTCTGAACCTTGGCAGGCGGCGTAGCTGGTGTTGGTTGTGTCCTCGGAAGGCAGGGTACCACTCTGGGCGGAGGCTCGACCCAGCAGACACAAAGCGAGCGACAGTGCACATAGCCCCATCGCTCCCGACCGCTTCAGGCGCGTCTTCGTCACTAGATCACACCACGTCTCTAAAAGTCACTGCGATACTGACTGAATCACCACCCCACCTTCTACCACCGACGCAGCACGTTCAAAAGATGCCACTTCTCCTCGCAATGACCTGAGCGAAGAACAGCACTGATCGTCCACTCAGAGAACAACTCGCCGGGTCCGCCTTTCTCGCTAGAATGCCCCGGGTGTCCGCTTCGCGGCTGGGGCGTCCTCCTGCGGCACGTCAGCGCCACCCCGCCAGCCCGCGTCACTGGGCGATGTGTGGAAATCCCGACCGGCCGGTTCTGCGCCGGAGCCGGACGCTCCAGCCCCTGGTGGCGGCCGGCCGGAAGCTCGGCATGCCGGCCCGCCGACCTTGACGCACAATGATGCGGTGAACACTGTGGCAGGGACGGCACGAGGTCGGTGTTGCGCCTCCAGTCAACGGAGTAACCACCGGCAGTGCTGGCACAAACAACTGCGCTTCAATCTGCGCAAGGATCTCGCTTATTACGGGAATTGTTCCACATTTGTATGGGGTTTTGGGGTGCATTGGGGCGACCAGACGACGTAATATCTATGCTGTCGACGTCACTCATGACGTCATACCCCACAGACTGAACTGTTTGGTGTTTGCAGTGATCCGTACTACCAAGTTTGCATGTGACCTCGGGTAGAATTTCGCTGAAAGTGCAGAGTATTTCCCTACGCCCCAATCGAAGTAAGACGTCAATGGCGGAACAAGTTCCATTGTAAACAGGCCAATAAGCGTGCCCAGAACCGACCGCGAGTGATGAAAAGGTGCTCATGTTTCAAAGAGTAAAATTTGCAGTCAACATTCTCAGGAGCACTCAACGTACATGTCAATGCAAACATTGTATATCTGGATGCGCTTAAAAGCCCTCTGGTTTCTGAGCTTGACAACCGCGAACTGGCGCAGAATATATATATATATATATATATATATATATATATATATATATCCCGTAATGCTTATTTCAGCCTCCACCCCGAGTGGCACTCTGGGCCCGAGCGATGCATGTGACCAAAGAGGGAATTCTGGGCCAGCTACATACAGAACAATTTTCAAAACCATTGGTACACCAGGTAGTAGGTACCTAAACACATCACGATTAGTACTTTATCGATTGTGTACCAAAAAGTATCATGTGGGTGATTTATGTTTTCGTCATGCTGACTCCTTCGTATGATAGCGGGTCTGCAAATGTTTGACAAGTTTTTCGAGGGATGACATCTGGATTGGGATATAGAACAATTCGCTGCTATGCGTGGCACTTTTAAAAGTAAAAGGGTAGTCAGATGACAATTAACGCATGTTTTCTTTTAACAGTAACAAGTGCATATGTCACGAAATCGTGGCTGTGGGGGTTATACAACACGATCAGCGGCAGCGGTGGTCATCATCCCTGACTAAGGCTAACTAAGAAACGTTTTTTCCTGTCAATTACACCTCACTGTAAGCTTTTGATAAAACGCCAGCTCACATTTACTTCGAAATAGAAGTCATTTCTCGGAAGGAAAATGATGTTGAAGCTACGAAATGTTACCAGGTTCTAACACACTCCCGGGTGGGGGGTCAAATTGCTCCCCCCCAAGGTTTTTCCAGAATGGCTTCCGAACGGCGCGGCGCCAAATTTTGCATAGCTGTAGATAACTGAATAGCGGACCGTTTGGTGTCAAAAATTTAGGTGAACCTTGAAAGGTCGTTGACCTATAGCAGGTCAAAGTCAGGCCATGGTTTCGGTGAAGCTAGTTTCTTGGGAATCGCTCCATCTGATGCAACAACGGATGTTGCTATGTTTCGCGCCTGCGCACGCCGTAACCGTTTAGCCTCACGTATTGCTACGGAGTGATTACATTGAAATTCACCAGCGCAGTTTATACATTTATAAATCAGCAAACGGCATACAAGCCAGTAAATAAAAAAAACTCTAAAGAGAATGGTCCACATTTAAGGATATTGAAACATGCATCAGGTATGATGCTATAAGCTTACTTAAAACTATTTGCATGTTTTTAAGTTGAAAATACTGCTCTTGACTACATAATTTCTCTGTTTGGTAAATATGCTCCTCAATATGTCATGGTTTTGAAAACGTCATCGTGTCTTGCACATCACTGACTGAGAGCCAATTGATGGCCGTTTTATCTGGAAATCGTGCCCACGAACGGCAGATATGAACAACTCAACAATGACATTTTTGCATTGGCATTGATCACCGTATGGCCAACGGAATGGCAGGATTTAAATGGCCTTATTTTGGTGTCATTGTGGTGTCCGAGTGACCTGGGAATAGTCCCCCGAAATAGTCCGCCTATCTTTGCAAGCGTGTAGCTCAGAAACTGAAAGGGCATAGATGTTAAGACGCACTGGGCTCTGAACTGCGCCGAATGATCTCCAAGATGGTTATTTCAGTTGAAAACTCTACACAAATGTGAATCACTTCCGTAAATGTCAGTAACATAAGCAGCAGTTCACATCACTATAAGACAAAAGCGTAGTGTATACTATAAGCAGAAATTATGTGACTCTAACGAGATATGAAGCCCGCCAAAATGACAGATATATTCTCTTGAGCTATACAAATTGGATCAATGCCAGTACAAGAGTTCATCTTCCCGTTCAGTTGTGGGTGCTAGTTGAAGGTTGTCAGTGGCAAAGCCAGCTCACATCTGCCAAAAATACGCATGATTTTTTAACGTATTCACACTATTGAGCCTGTCCGTCACATTTTCACCTCAACACCCCATTTGTACTTGCACTACACATTCTGTGCACTTTGCAGGTATGAAGTGCCCACTATAAAGGTGGGTGCCACTGGTGCCGATTTGCATTCTTTTGTGTGGGCCCTGCTGCCCATGTTAAAATGCCCGTCCCCAATGTTGGTCTGGCCCCCTCCCAATATTTTGGGCTGGAATTTTACAAAAACCTAGAAAATAGTCGACTATCGCGCAAAGACGATCTTCTTTGATTCGTCCACATAGAAGGGTCGTCATGGAGAGTGCAGCTGAGTGACTTGAAGCCGCAACCTCAATATTATGTGCTCAGTGGAAGAATAACCTTAGACATTAGGGTAAACCGCTTAACAATCCGACTCTTTGTCAGTCAAAGCTAAGCCCAGACGCTCTTCCGCAACTAAGCATGATATTCACACCACTGGTTTTTTGCTGTAAGATGTCATAAGACACCACAACTGGTTAACTTTCACCTAACTTTTTTGTTTTGTTTTTTGGCGCTGCATGGATAGCTCAGATCATGGGTTCCGTTTAGTTACAAATGAGAAACCATACAGGAACAAAAAATTTCCGGAGACAGATTTTCGATCTGATTCGGTTCTGACATGGCTCATTACCAGCACTCTCATCACACCTTTACATTTCTGCGATGTTCAACAGATCTATTTTACCTCGGTCTTTAATCCATGCATCGCGAAGAGACGTTTACCGTGCCATGCGACCACACGACTGTCGGCTGCCCTGTAGTCAGGCTGACACTATCGAGCCAAGAGCTAAATGGCCGCCCCTGGTGAGCCATATATGCCCATTTATTCTGGAGGGCAAACTTTCCACTACGCTTTTCACCCCATCACGAATGCGGTCAGCGTATCCCCAGCGCCCTGCCGAAGTTGTGCTTCCGCCACGACAATTGGCTTGTCTGTGTGGCAATATACGTTCCTTTTGCCAACATTTTATGCGTTTACGCCTTGCATCCGACGGGCTCGTAGGAGGACGTCTGTAAAATGTCTGTCCACCTGCTATTTTCGTTAAAAGATATCACCTGTGTTATAAAACGCAGCCCCGCAGTCGTAGCTACGGGTCAGATAAATTGTTAGATAAATACATGACACCAGTGAATGGAGCAGTGGTGCTTTTTCGACGACTTTGCGCTACTGGGAGCAATATTACGGGAAAGTTTGAGCTTCATCTAGAATCGTGTGACCAATATGCTTTAAAATGGGAGCATATCTGCGTTCTTCTATCATCTTAAGGAATTAAATTTGTAGGCACACATTTTCTCATTTTGCATTTTGCGTGCCACCCGTCTAGGGTCAGTGAATCTTCCCCAACGGATCGTGGGACGGCGAGCAAGCCGGCCATGGCTAGGAATTCCCCCCGCCTTACCAAATTCAACCATTAGGCCGAGCGGGGCCTGAGTCAGCTATAGCTAGGAATTCCCCCGCCTTTCCAAACTCGACCATTAGGCCGAGTGGAGCTTGCGAGCTGGACGTGGACCCGTCCGACGCTCCAGCTGATCGGCCTGACCATTAGGCCGTGTGGGGCTTGAGAGCTGGACGTGGACCCGTCCGACGCTCCAGCTGATCGGCCCGCATCAACAAAGCAACGTCAGGTGCCTCCCGCTCCCCCTCCCACGGAACTGCCATGAGGGCGGCCTCATCTGTCGAAACGGCTCATCGCGTCAAGATAAATGGATGAGAGCCAGATGACCGGCGACGCAACATGCACACAGGAATGCTGAACTGCCATGTTGTGGGGATATTTGTCGCTCCGCCCCAGAAGTCCCGCCGCGCTCGCGCCGCCGTCACACCAGCTGGCATCAGAAGTGCCACGCCACGTGAGACCTGGACCATAGGGGGACGCGCAGGGCCCGCCCGAGGCGAGATCGGGCGGGCCTCGCACCGTCGCCGGCGACGCGACGCCCGAGATCTGACCTAGGGGTACGTTGGAGGTAGGTCTCTGGAGGCAGATCAGGCCGGTCCGGCAACACATTGGGCGGAGAGGGCGAGGCGGCAAAACTGCTGGACTACGCAAGAAAACGAGGACGGGCCGACCCAGTTGAAAGGGTCTGCCAGGAAAGCCAGGAGAAGACTCTAGGAGGAAGTCAAGGCGGAGAGTCCGGGTAAGGCGCGGGAGTCTTTCAGGAGAGTCCAGGGGAGGCGCTTGAGCATGACGTCTTCCGGGGAGTTCCGAGGAGCGAGGAGGCGCGGAGAAGTGGTGGTGACAACCAGGCGGCGATATGCTGGTCCTGCGGACAACGGGTACACCGGCGACAACATGCACGTGTAAGTCCACAGGTTGTCCCCCCTCTCCCCCCCCCCCCCACCTCATCGTCACCGGGCCATGGACGGCTGAAGCTCTCGTGTTCCCTGCACCCTTCCCACCGGGCGGGCGCGGGCCGCGGCTACCTGTTCCCTTCCGCGTAGTTAGGGAGGAGGGGAGCAGGCACTAGCCATGGGACCCTCTCGGACGGCAAGGAGTTCCGGGCCCACTCCCATGGTTAATGACAG